CGCCGCTGCTCCGGCCACCTTGGGCCGCCTCCGCCGCCGCCATGTGCCTCGCCCCCGTCGCCGCTCGTCGCGGATCCGGTCGGGCTGGACCGGATCCGGCGACCTCGAGCCCCGCCGCCGTCCTCTCCTCCTCCGGCGGAGTTCCGGCCAGATCCGCCGCCATCCTCGTTCTCCGCGCCGCGTTGACTTTACCGTGGGGTGAGAATTTCACTAAGTCCCCGAGATTTCCATGTTTCATATGCCCATATTCATCATGTCGTAACTTTGCACCCGTAACTCCGTTTTGCGCGTATAGCATATTAAAATGTTCATCTCAGAGAGATCATCATTTCATCTCATTGCATCATTTTCATTTGAGTTCATCTTGATGCCCGAAATGATGTTGGAAGAGTGCTATTTGAGATAGTTGCCAGATCTGCTGCTCCAATTAGATATTTGTCATTTTTGCCATGATTAATGTGTGCATGATATGCCCCTGAGCTCTTCATGAGTTTTGTTATATGCCATGCCATCTTTCCAGAGGTGCTATACATGTATTTTTGTGATGTGTGTGGTGACTAGCACAAGCTTGCAAAGTGGAGCATTCGTTAATACTGATTTCAGGGACTTAGCAATTCCACTAAGTCCTTGATCTGTTTATCTCAATATGCCATATGTTCATGTTGTTTCCTAGTGATCCGTACCTCTTTTGAGAATGATCAGTAAGGATGTTTTGTTAATCTTGTAGTGCTCTATTCATCCATGTCCTTGTTTGCAATTATGGAGCACCCTAGCTTGAGTCAATCGAGCTCTACTTTTGCTATTTCGTGAATGTGGGCAGATTGTCTACTTGTTAGCGATTTTGCCGAGGATGTTAAAGTTGATACATGCATGCTATGTTAATGTTCTTGCCATGTCTAGCTTGTATAATGTGTATTCTTGATGGGTGTATGCTTAGATTGTCATGACTTGCTCTGTAGTGAGTGCATCGAGCTCGTAAATATGCCTACTTGATATCTATTTCAGCATGCTCCAGTTTTCACTAAGTCTGAGAACTGATTATGTTTTTGCCTTGTTCACATGGTTGCAATTGTATTTTCTGATCCCTTTTGGCTCAAGGTCACTAAGGGATTTTTGTTAATCTCTTTGAGTAGCTCCATGTCATGTTTTACTTTGCCATGTTCAGACCCTGTAGCATATAGTTTTCATGCTCCAAAGTGTGCTACATGATCTGAAATTCCAGGCTTGTGTTAATTTCACTAAGTCTGAAACCTGTTTACCAATTGCACTTTTGCCATGCTTGTTTGAACCTGTTAATGGATGAATTGGCCGTAGCTCAGTGTTCCTTTTTGTTAAGCATCATGAATGGATCCCTTCCATGTATTTTGATGCCATGTTTGGGTGCTGTAGCATGTTCATCTTGTTGCATTTAGATGGCTACTTGCTGTATATCGCAGACCGGTGCCATATTTGAATTGCTTGCCATTTGCAAACCGTAACTCCGATTCCGGCGTTCTTTATATCGTTTTCAAGCGATTTCACCTCACCTTTCCAGTGGCACACTTGAAATTTCAAGTTGAGGCCAGGTTCTTTCATTCCCTTGCAAATCATGCATATGCATCGCATACCGCACCCCGCATATCATATCATGTTCATGTGTGGTTTGTTTACTATGTTGTGTGCTTCTTTCCGGTGTTTGCTTCTTTGGGTTGATTCCGGTAACATCGCGTTTGTGAGGACCCGTTCGTCTACGTCCGTTTGTCTTCTTCATGGACTCGTTCTTCTTCTTTGCGGGATTTCAGGCAAGATGATCATACCCTAGAAATCACTTCTATCTTTGCTTGCTAGTTGCTCGCTCTTTTGCTATGCCTATGCTGCGATACCTACCACTTGCTTATCATGCCTCCCATATTGTTGAGCCAAACCCCTAACCCACCTTGTCCTAGCAAACCATTGTTTGGCTATGTTACCGCTTTGCTCAGCCCCTCTTATAGCGTTGTTAGTTGCAGGTGAAGATTGAAGTTTGTTACTTGTTGGAACATGGAGATGTTGTTCCTTATTGGAACATGTTTACTTGTTGGGATATCACTATATATCTTATTTAATTAATGCATCCATATACTTGGTAAAGGGTGGAAGGCTCGGCCTTATGCCTGGTGTTTTGTTCCACTCTTGCCGTCCTAGTTTCCATCATATCGGTGTTATGTTCTCGGATTTTGCGTTCCTTACGCGGTTGGGTAATAATGGAAACCCCTTGACAGTTCGTCTTGAGTAAAACTCTTCCGGCAATGCCCAACATTGGTTTTACCATTCGCCACCTAGCCTTTTCTTTTCCCTTGGGGTCGCGCGCCCAAGGGTCATCATTATTTTAAACCCCCGGGCCAGTGCTCCTCTGAGTGTTGGTCCAAACTGAGCGATGTCCGGAGCTACCAGGGGCAACTCTGGGCTGGCCCACCCGACGTCTGGCTCATCCGGTGTGCCCTGAGAACGAGATATGTGCAGCTCCTATCGGGATTTGTCGGCACATCTGGGTGGCTTTGCTGGTTTAGTTTTACCTTGTCGAAATGTCTTGTAACCGGGATTCCGAGTCTGATCGAGTCTTCCTGCTAGAAGGTATATCCTTCGTTGACCGTGAGAGCTTGTCATGGGCTAAGTTGGGACACCCCTGCAGGGATTTGAACTTTCGAAAGCCGTGCCCGTAGTTATGGGCAGATGAGAATTTGTTAATGTCCGGTTGTAGAAAACCTGAAGTTAACCTTAATTAAAATGCATCAACCGCGTGTGTAGCCGTGATGGTCTCTTCTCGGCGGAGTTCGGGAAGTGAACACGGTGTTGGAGTTATGTTTGACGTAGGTTGTTCTAGGATCACTTCTTGATCATAGTTTCTCGACCGTGCTTCGCCTTCTCTTCTCGCTCTCATTTGCGTATGTTAGCCACCATATATGCTAGTCGCTTGCTGCAGCTCCACCTCATACCTTTTACCCTACCTATAAGCTTAAATAGTCTTGATCGCGAGGGTGTGAGATTGCTGAGTCCCCGTGACTCACAGATACTTCCAAAACCAGTTTGCAGGTGCCGATGTAACCGAGTAGGTGACACAACCGAGTTCAAGGAGGAGCTCAATAAAGATCTTGTCCTTTGTGTTGTTTCGTTCTAGTTGATCAGTAGTGGAGCCCAGTTGGGGTTGATCGGGGATCTGTGTAGCTTTTGGGGTAGTCTTTTTTTATTTTGGTTCCGTAGTCGGACCTTGTGTGTAACTGGATGATGTAATGCTTTATTCATGTATTGTGTGAAGTGGCGATTGTAAGCCAGCTATGTATTTCTTTTCCCTTATTGTATTACATGGGTTATTTGTGAAGATTACCTCACTTGCGACATTGCTTTCAATGCGGTTATGCCTCTAAGTCGTGCTTCGATACGTGTGAGATATAGCCGCATCGAGGGCGTTACAAGTAGGCCAATAGGCCAATTGAACGTGAGACACCCAAAAAAGCCACCGGAGCAGCGGCCCGAAAAGGCCAGCGCTGCCTGACGCGCGAGTTAGTCCCGCGGACGAGATTCAGGTGGGACTAACAGCGAATCCGATGGCCAAAAACGACTAAAAGTGACGATCTAATAGTTAGAAATGCTGATGGTCTGAGAGGATTGGGAGGGTGCTCAATTTTAATATATCTAAATTTTTCTAAAGAATCGCGCTTCTTACCGGGATTTCTTGGTCTCTGTCGTTGAAATTCAAGCCCCCTTTAGGCTCAAAGATATTGAAACCTTTGAAAGCCCCTGGGTTTTGAACAAACGCATCGTCCCACTTCATACCTTGGAGATGTCCCATGTGCCTCTCTCTTAGTTCTTCAGTCAACACTAATTGAAAATCCCAAAAGAGAGAGCATACATGTATCGGTGAGATATGGAACCATGATGAAGCAAGCAGCAAAAATGTGCCATGGAGCTTAGTGTCGTGATGACTTCGAAACTTCGATCGGTATGTTCTTACGTTTGATACATCACAAGCTTTAGCTATGGCTTGTGCAGTCTCGGCAGCACGCTTGAGGTCGGAGGAGTATACATCAGCCGGCTTGGCCTCTGCCGACAGACGACGGGCCACCTAATGGTCGAGTCCGCATCATATTTAGACGAATTTAAGAAAATGTCAGTGGCTCAATGCTAATGAGCAAATGAACTATAGTACATACCACAACAGCTTGCTGCCTGCCGGTCTCATTTAGTTCTGGATTCATTTGTCCGTGTTGCAAGATTGATTACAACGTGTGTTGTGTCAGTTATTAGAGAGAAAATGACCACATAATTACGGCTGTTCATAGTTCATACGGGAATCGCACTAAGGAGAAACGGTCCAGAATAAAAGATGCTTGAGCTTCCACATCTGAATGCAGAACTGAGGATATATCTATACTAGGATCGGCGGATAGGACCTGAACGATGCGGGGGGCGTTCCACGACGTCTCCCCGTGCCGGACCACCACCACCTCCGCGAACCGCTCGCCGTCATCGCCGCCGTGCTGCGGCGTGGTTGGTGGCATGGCTCAGCTGGGCCGTGGTGGCCGGCCGGCAACACCCGCGAGGGAGTGCCACCTGACGTCGTCTCCCGCTCCGGCTGGCCGGACTAATGCCGTATTGGTAAAGCCAGGCACCCCCCACCAAGCCGAGAGGTGAGTGGGCTCTCCTTTGCTGGCATGTGGTTACCGAATCAACGTCGAGATCTTCTTGTCCTACTGTGGCCATATTTGTCAACATACGCACTGATTAACTCACGACGCACCATTTGGTCAATGGTTTGCATTTACGCCTGCTTCAAGTTCAAGATGCGAGCAACTTTTTTGTTTTGTTGTTTGGTGTCTTCCTTTCACAAATCACGTGGTTCGCATATGAAAATGGACAATATTTAACAACCATCTGCCTCCACTAGAAAATTATGGAGAATCAAACGGTCTATCAGCAAGTAGCCTCCATTAACTTTCTTTCTTGACACAACTAGCCTCCACCTACTTAAGTAGTTTGGTTCAGTCTCCAACACTTAAGGTTACACCAACTTTTATTTAAAAAAAAACTTCTAATCTATTCATCAAATATCACGGTCGTATAAAAAACATCAAAAGTAACAAAAAATACATGAATGCCAATAAACCAACTAACGATGATTACAAGCATTGGAGCAAGCCGAAAGCGCGATCATCATCGCCCCTCCCTCACAGGAGCGGGGCAAACCTTATTGTAGTAATTAGTCGGAAACTCATCGTGCTAAAGCCTCAAAGCACCAGCGCACCAAGACAACAACCGTCGTTGATGAAAAGAAGTGTATAGATCGAAATGATCCAACCTGTAGATACACAAACGCAGGCGAACGAAGACCGGATCCACCGCAAACACCGGCTGAATCCCATGAAATCCGTCAAAGACATACCCCACACGCTCTCCGATGACACAAGACACATAGCCAGGGTAAGGATTAGGCAGGGAGAACCTTACTCCACTTTCGACGCTGCGGCCTCGTCTTCCTAAATAGGACACAAACCATAAACAAACTGAAAAGAACACCTAAAACGAAGGAGAAGCCCTCCCCTCGGCAAGGGCCGGAATCCACCGTGCCTTCATGGCCTAAGACCACAGAAGACGAGGCAGATCAACGATGGCACCGACGGAAGGCGGGGAAACCTTCGATGCCTAAGAGTTGCTGTGGGGGAGAAGTAAAATATTTGGTCAACCCAAAATTATACCAATTTCACATCACTAATAGCTAAATCGTTAGCAACCGAACTCCTAGAAATGTCTCACATATTTGTAAGCGTCGGCGTCTATATTTCACACACACACACAAAATCCGACCCTCTTACCAGAACATAGGCAACTTGAAATCACCCACGTTTATATGACATGAAATTGGAGTATTTACAGTACTTGACAATACATGGCGTTGTTTTGTCAAAACTACGTACAAAATGGGAATGACTAAAAATTAGTCAGCTGAATTTTTCATGTGTGGTCAATCGATTTCTCAAACGTTGGATGCGAGATCAAAGGCCCACAATGCTTCTTCAACCTCCATCTCCCCTTCAGCCGCCAGCCATCACCGGCCCCCGCCGCCTCACCGTCCCGTCCTCCCCGAAACCACTTCTCATCGCCGGTCCTCCGCCGCCTCGGCCATCCCTCTAGGCCCGCCACGCTAAGCTTTTTCTCCGGCGAATCCCCACGCCACCGCCCTACCACTGCGCCCCACCATCGCCCCCATCATGAACCCTAAGATAGATACTGGGGTAGCCTCTCCGGCGAGCCCCTCCACTACGGCTGGTTCTTCCTTCCCTCCGGCGAGCCCCCCATGAAAATCGACTGACCCAAAGTCGGATCAATCGACTGAAATGTAGCTATTCTGATAAAAAATAACCAAATCATTTTGTTTTGTTTAATGGAGATCACTTGAATTTCAAACAAGCAATCAACTCCGCCCTTTGCCGGTGGGGGCACCACCGCACCAGCACAGTGCCCAACGGCTGGCCCCCCACCTTCTCAATGCCCAATCACAATCACAACCCATCTGCTAATCTAAATTTTGATAAAAATATTTAACTAATAAAATGTTCATGCATGTCATAAAAAATTATATTATTAAAACTATGTTCAAATACGAATCCAATTATATAATTTTTGTTGACATGCATTAATATTTTATTAGTGAAACCTTTGGTCAAAATTTGACACAAATTAGAAAAAGGACCAATAAATCAGGTCGGAGTCAAAATTACATAGAAAATAGCCAAATCGTTTTATTTTATTTAATAAAAATTCTGACTTGAATTTCAAACAAGCAATCAACTCCGCCCTTTGCTGGTGGGGGCACCGCCGCACCGGCACAGAACCCAACGGCTGGCCCCTTTTTTCTCTTCACGCCCAATCGCAATCACAACCCATCTCCTAATCTAAATCGCACTCAAAATCTAACCCAAATCCACGGCCCAACTCTGACGGTACGGCCATGGACTCGTAGAAGTACTCACCATCGGCGAATGCAGCACCGCGACCCCGATCCACTCCGGCGAGCTCCCGAGGCCACTGTCATGGCCGCGAACAGCTACCACTCCCGCAGCATGTCGTGGTTCGTCAAGTCCTGCATCCCTGCCGACCCCGACCGCCACATCTCCGTCCCCGTCTCAGTCCCCGCTCCTGTCGCTGCTTCATCCACCACCAGCCTCTGCTTCCCCGCCCAACCACCACCGCCCATCTCCGCGCTGCCCGACGACCTCATCCTCGAGTGCCTTGTCCGCGTGCCCAGGGTCTCCCTCCCGCCGCTCCCCGCCGTCTGCCGCCGCTTCGCCGACCTCCTCGCGTCCCACGCCTTCCTCCAGCTCCGCCGCGCGCGCGGCCAGCTCCAGCCCTCCCTGCTCGCCGTCTCCGTCCCCGACCACGGCGGCGCCTTCGCCCAGGCCCTGCTCCAGTTCCGGCCGGAGCAGCAGCAGCTCCAGGTCACCGCGCTGCCGCTGCCGCTGGCTCTGCTGCATTGCGGCCGCTCCGTGTTCGCGCACGCGCGCGCCGTCGCGCTGGGCCGCGACATCTTCCTCGTCGGCCGCGGCGCGACGCTGCGGGTGGACGCGCTCACGGGCGCCGCGCGCGCGTGCGCGCCCACGCTGTTCCAGCGGAAGAAGTTCGCGGCGGCCGCCGTGGGAGGGCGGATCTACGTCGCCGGCGGGTCCGCGCGGACCGCGGCGGTCGAGGAGTACGACCCGGTGGCGGACGCGTGGCGCGTGGTCTCCGAGGCTCCGCGGAGGAGGTACGGGTGCGCCGGGGCCGGGGCAGGAGGTGTGTTCTACGTGGCCGGCGGGGTCGCGGTGTCCGGCGACGGTGCGCGGGCGCTCGGGCCGCACGTGTGCGCCGGGTCGGTGGACGCGCTGCACGTCGCGTCCGGCAGTTGGGCGCGGCCGCGGGCGCTGCCCGGCGGCGGCTGCGTCGTGGGCGCCTGCGGCGTCGGCGACCATCTCTACGTGGTGGCCAGCCACGCGGTGGAGCTCTCCTTCTGGAGGTGGCACGGCGGTGCAGGTCGAGGCAGCGATCTCAGAGCTGGTGGCGGGTGGGTGGCGCTCGAGGCCCCGCCCATGCCGAGGGGGTCGGTGGGGCTGGGCATGGCGGTGCGCGTGACGATGGCGGGCATCGGGCGTGAGACAGTGACAGCCGTAATGAGCGCGGCGGCAGTCCGGGGCCACAATGCGGCGGGGGCCGGCCCGTTCGAAGGGATGGTGCTGGCGTACGACATCGCCGGCGGCAAGTGGAGCCGCGCGCCGGACCTGCCACCCGGGTTCCGGCGAGCCGCCTGTGCGGGCGTCGAGTGCTGACAGCGTGGGCCACTGACATTTGTGCCTGTTCGGTGGGTTTCACATGGTGTGCAAGTAAACACTGGGTTTGTTTGATTTGATTTGACTTGATGCTACATTTTCGTGTATTGTTATTGGGCGGAGGCTGGTTTATTCGAGTACAGTTCTTCACTATTGATGCCGAAATTTGGCGTCGTATTCAGTTTTCCAAACTAGCCGGGGCCATCGTTATGGGTCGTGGCCATGTATGAAGCGACTCGAGTTTGACGCCTTCCCACCGTCTGTTGTGCGAGGACTGTTAGAGCAACCCACATAGGTCACCCATATTGTATTGTCTGCCTCTATATCTTTTCTTCTTTTTCTTCTTCTTGTTGTTACACCAACCAAATAATCAAATGCTTACATTGATTTAAGCTAACGTTGCATTACGATGTTCTTACATGGAGGATGAAAAGTCAATTAGCACTTGAGTCCACACACCTCTAAGAAAAGCCTAGGGTTCCTTTGCCTCCTGCCGGCGCCCCACCTCCACCAGTCCGCCTTGTCTTCGGTGGCTTTAGGACGATGGCGGCGCGGTGGATACCAGCCCTTGCCGGCGGGAAGACTCTGTTTTCGGATGTTCCTTCGAATTTTGTTAGGATCCGTGTCC